ACTTCAGGAATCACCAATGAGCACTAGATTAACTCAATTTGGGAATTTGTGGGGATTTATCGATTTCAAGTTGATATTCATCTTGGACTTACATTAATTGCAATAAAGCGTGATGATAAAAACCTAAATATGCCTTTGATGTGATCTGAATAGGAATATATCGAAAGCGAGTACTCCTTTCGCAGTTTTTCATTAGTACTGGACAATGAGCAACTGTTTGTAGTATCAACAAGCGTTGAAGGTCAACACACAGTTTGGCAACAATATCTTTGAAACTTGAGGCCGATCGGTGAAAAGACTAGCACATTGTTAAAATAACAGAATTGATCTTGATACAAATGGTGATTATTGTTAGATGGTAATTTTCAGAATTTTTGCCCATAAACATAAATAAGTGTGAACGAAAGAATACCAGTGCATTAAATTAAAGCAGTATAAGAAAGAAGTCCTAAGGACGGTTTTCGCCCTTAGCTTGAAAGCCCTGTCTTGGCAGACCAAAACTTGAGTAGTGGTGATGTCATCAGGGTGCCTGTAAGGTCTGTTCATTCAACTATTATGATAGTATTCAATTTATTCAGAAGAACAGATACAGGATTATTCACTGAATGACGTTTCGAGTACGGATTGTTACCTTCAGCCATATGCGATTAGAATTACGATTATCTCATTGTTATTGTCTCATACACCACTTGGTAAACTCCTAGATCCACCTTTCAGTCACCCATAAATAAAAACCTTTATCGCCATTATATGCAACATTTGTTGATACGTATAATTCACCGTTGTTATACTGATGGGTTCCCATGAGGATATCTCCTTATTGCCTGGATTTTCACGATGTTGTAATTTACCTAATAGTAACTGGCAGTGGAATCCAGGAGGGGCATTTAGTCCTATTAGGAGTTTGTCTGCTGGATATCAAAAATATTGAAATCCAAATACACTCGGCAAATTCGTGCACATTTGCGTAAAAGGTAATAAGTCATACCTGTTGGGTGAGGTCTAGTAATACTACCTGGCTGCCGTATTTTCGATAGATGGAGCAGGGCTCAAACCCATGACACACTGGTTGAAAGCTTTCTCATTAAACCAGTGAGCAGAAGCTCCATGCAGCTGGATATTTCTGAAACCCAGTGAGTGGTGTGGTTCCCGTTGAGACTGGAAACCAGCACTCGTCCCATCAAACGTCGAAGCCTTACCCATTCATCTACTGAGGTACGACAGCCACGTTCTGTACGACGGGTATATTTGTTATTTTTTTTGATACTTATAATCTCCCGTTGTTATACGGGATCTGATTCATTGACCTCTGTTTGAATAAGTGGTCCCATAAACTATATGTGAGGTCTGAGTCTCAGTGGGAGCATCACCACTCACTAGCTTGCAGATATTTCCAGCTGACGAACCTTGAATAGGATGAAACACTACTCCTAGATTCCATCGCTTACCAGCAAGTATACTACAGTATAATGAACATCCTAGTAATATCATCGCCTCCGCGTAGAAGCCCATCTGCCGGCAGAGGTCGAGTGGTTCAACTCAGCATAGTAATTACTGATTCACAAAAAAAACTATGTTCCATTTACGACATACTGCTTGCCCACCTTGGCCATTTACTCACCTTCATTAAAGTCTTACGAATCAGTTAAGAGCTATCTATGCATTTACTGTCAAGGTGTTCAGCTTTACAGCTGAATCATGGTTAGTCATTCAGTTAGAAATGCATATGTATGGTTTGTTGAATAATTTATAATTTTTTCCTTTTATGTATTACAGTAGAGAAGGATTATAGCTCAAAATCCTGAAGTTTAGCCTTGTCAGTGACAAAAAAATAACATATCTGTAATCCTTTAGCAATAAGCAAAAGAAAAAGGAAAAGTGGGAACAAGTTTAGCCTTTCTGTAGACAATTTTTTTAAGGTCAATAAGAATTGAAGTCAAAAAGATAATTAAATGTCCACTTTACAGTTTCGTCCTAATCAAAGCAGAAGACTTCTGTTACAGTCTCAATAATATACATTATTATATGAAATAACTGACTTTAATTTCATCTTCTTCTGACCTCAAACATGATGAGGTAAGGGATTCAGCTGATATTACAACTAATGAATAAACTCACTTAAAGTAACAATCCTAAATTGTTTTTGTATTATTCAGTAGTACTTCTCAATAGAAACAGTGCTGACAATTTCCTTGATCAGATATGTTTATACTGTATTAAGCAGCCATGGCTGGTTGTTTTCAGCACCGTCGCCTCTTCATGCTACTGCCGAACAAACCATTAGACTGAGTAGACCTTAGCTGACAATACAGCTTAATGCAGTTATTAAAAAGAAAGTTGATCGATAGAAATTGTTTAAAATTGGTTGGATGGAGGCAATCTCAGTGTTTCATCCGGGTTTCGTGCTTTTTGATACCCATCAGCAAGATAAATCTGCGTATTCGACGGAAATAGTGTTTTCTATAGGATTAAAATCTGCGTCAGACAGATCTGCAGTCATTGACGTTACCACTGAGCTACTCGGGCTGCGACTGATCTCCTGTGGGACTGTATTTGGCACGTTGATTGATCACAAGAGGGTCATCAACTTCGTGTTATCTTATCCTAAATGCTGATCGAATTCTATCAGTCATTTTGCAATGTGGCTACCGGGCTAGGAACCTCGCTTTTATGATGCACTGAGAGAGATGTTAGTTGGCTGAAGGCAATCAGCATGAAACCATGGACCTAGGTGAATCCCGTAGCCTGGTAGCCACGTTGCAAAATGACCAATGGAATTTCACCAACACCCAGAACTAGACATGACCAGTCAATGTAGTACTACTGTTTCACTTGCTTTGTTTATTCAACTGAAAAATACTCGTATAGACATACGAGTGTGTGTGAGTGCCAGGAAAACTGACAATTTGTTCAAGAGTGAAGTGAACTATGGTGTTATATGTTAAAAGTTGTTCAGTAGGAGAATCTGCATGAATTAGTTTTCACGCTTGTTCGCAATCACCATTAAGGAGTATCTACCACTTTCACGAAACTCAAGATTTTATAAAAGCTTATAGAATATTTGTTCCCACATAATTAAGACCTTCAAAAGAACAATCAACTTGATAATCCGCAGGGTTTATTAATGTCATTATAAAGGTTTGCAACTCATATACTTTTTCATTAGTCAGTGGAGCTATTATTTCCTGTTAAAAAACAGTTAAGTCTGTATTAGGAGATACTTTTGATCAATGTAAATATGGATTTCAGGCAGGTATTCGTCACAGACTGAAACCAGTTGCAGAAACATTGAAAACCTGGGAGCACTGGACAGTTGTTCCATCCTAGTTTGGAACTAAGCAGTGTTCACTCATGACCTCGTCAGAGATTGAATCCAGCGCCTTCACATTCCATGGCCAGCACGTAAACATTGCACCACTAGGTGAGAATCCCATGGTCCATATATCCTACTTCTGTCAGTTCAAGATACAGCACAATCTCCATATGATCGACATGGTGGACCCACTGGTCACGACATCCCATTGGAGAATAGGAATTACTTCTCAAATCTAGTCACCAATGAAGGTCCTGCTTTTGATCGCTGGCGGATTCATGGGTGTGCACTGCTGAGGAGTTCCGAACGACGACGAAACAGTTGTCTAGTACTTTCAAACCTTCTATGTTTATCCAGCTGTCAGTTCGTGGTGAATACCAACCTGAAATCAATCAATAAATCCCGACAAACTTCAAAATTGAACTGGTGAAATATCTTCATAATGCTAGTCTTACAAACAGAACCACGTTTCCTTTTGACATATATTCTTTGTTTACTGGTGCATCTGGGATGAAGACAGTTGATACCCTATGTAACTGTTTTTTATCCATTCCTAGTGTCACTTCCTTATCCAAAAAAGCTTCGTCTTTTGTGTTCGAATCATGTTAAATTTACACTTTTGAGAGAACTTTTCCGCCAGATCAATGACGTGGCTTCAGGAAACCCTTTAACTTTCTCACCAGCCGACATCACAAGTTGACAATGTGGTTGGAATTCAGATTGCAAAAGTCCTCCTCAAAAGATATGCCTGATACATCATAGTTCTGTTGAAAACTGGAAGATGCTTTATTTATTCTGAAACGAGTGAAAATAACTTAAGCAGTATAATAAACGACCCACCTTTAAGGAAGCCGAATGGTTAAAACAGTAACTATTCACTTAAGTGTAAACGGTCCTTTGTCAAACGTCTTTTCGACAGAGTTCAAAGGATATGCACAATAATGCTTTAAAGAAGAAAACATTACTGCTTATCAAATGATTATTAGATGCCAGCTGCCTTCTAAACTTTAGTAATCTTAGTAGAAATCCAAGATAAAAACCATGTATATAGGTGCAAATACATAGGGAACATCCACAAATCTCTGCATAATGGCTGAAACAACAAATCAAATCAAATAGTACCACTTATCTAGACGGTAGATGTTCACCTTCGCTAACAACTAAAGTAACGGGTTCCAAGGTTGGTCTGAGTTCACATTTCAAACCTATTTACAAATTTGTTGTGACCAGATACTTAGGTTATTAAAACTGTAGACATCAGGAAATCTAAAACCATCTTAAGCATTCAGTAGCAACTTGTTATTGCATTAAGCTTGTCTTGGTAACTCAGATTTAGTACCAAGGGTTATTAAAATTCTATCTTTTTCTTTCCATCTGTGATTTGACCTGTAAGCTAACAATTCGACTCATTACTGTGTCGATTCTTTTTTCTAACCCGTTTTTTTTCCTTTTATTTCACGCAAATATGCATGACAGGTAAGTGTTTGGCCAGATCGTTTGAAATGTATTGTCTTAATGTAGCATAAGTTTCAGATAGACCACGTTTTCCTATTACCTGGTAAAAATAAAAACAATGACTTTTCAGTGAAATATTTGTCGAATAAGTATCCTTTATTCAACAGAATCTTTGAATGGAATGCTTTTCCAAGTATTGTGCTTTTTTTCTACTTTGAATGTTTGGATTTAGTTAAAACAAGTTGAAGAATACATGGCCTATAAAAAGTATCCTCGAGAATTGAGAAGACGTATTGCTGGTTATTACGAACATAGATATAAAGGTAAAATGTTCAATGAAAAGGAGATATTAGGTGAATTATCAGAATGCTTGCGAGAGGTAAGTACCAATCGTCTCAATGATATATGTATTGTCTGAGAATGTGAGTGAAATTGTGGGTGCACTACGGCTATTGGTGTTTCACCGTCATATAAAGATCTTTCAACTCACAAGTACACAAAAAGAAGGGAATCACGCAGACTTCCCAAAAACAAGCACATTTATCAAATATTCTCCTGCGTAACTTCTTGATCACGGAACTTGAATTTTAGTCAATGGATTACGAATTCGAACTTCGCTGGTTATATTTTGGACAGCCAGATTGCAACATTAATCGCCAAAGGTGAAGTTAGTAGCCTGACCAATGAATTTACTAGTAGTTACCGAATCATATATTTATTGTAATAACAGCGATACGTAGCTTGTGAAATTTCGTGTGAATAGGATCTGAAGATTGAGTATAAGCTGAAGAATATCTCTCGTTCCTTGTTTTCGATTTAGCTGACCTTCTGTTGATGTTCCTTGTGAAATAAAGCAAACTTCTGCTCAAAATTAGGTTTTTAATCTTATTTCCCTTACATTACAACCAAATACTAGATAAGAGATTCTTGAGGTGGATGAAAATAAGCATCGACACTATACTTGTCAATGTTGGTTTGTATTTTCAGAAATTCATGAATTTACATGGAGAATGAGCGCATTTAGTGGTAACTTAACAGAATTATTGTCTCTATAATATTCGAAATGAAAAGCTTTTTCAGTCAGTTAGATTAAAATTATAGTGATTCCGATCGGCATACTCAGTCTTTTAAGCCATTTTCAAATATCCTAGGAGCTAGGTAAATAATTACAGATAGGTTCCTTGTTACACCATTTACAAATTCTTCTTTGTGAATGCATAAAAGCGAAACAGAAAACTGATGAAAAATCTATGAGTTGACCAGCTAGGTAAATGTGAAGCTCAGATTCCGCTGACTAGTTATTTATTACCGACAATTAAAACCTATTGATTGTTGTCGCTTGTAATTTACTGTTGTTTTACTGAATCAAACCGATCGACCTATGTTGGCATATGAGCTGTCATGCGGATCTCTGAATAGCATTTCAATGAGAACATCATTCACTGTGACAAAGGTATATCCAGCTGACGATTGAGTCCCAAGTAAGAAAAAAACATGACTTCTAGATTCTAATGGTAGCCACCACTAAGAAAACTGTAACTAAAACCTAGTTTACTTACGCTTTCATAACTCACGATTGACAGTGCCGTTGGTTATCTCACGAAATGCTAGATAATTAGCACACTGTGTAGCGTATTTTGCTATCCTATGTACTCATTTTATTGAAAGTATCTACTAACCATACACAGCGTCGTATTTTAAAATGCTCCTAAAAACTTTTGAACTTTATCCAATTTCAAGGTTTCCAACATTCGGACATTATATCATATATGTCAATCAGTCTCCATTAGTTGAAAGCAAAATACTTTTCCTGAGTTACATCTCAAAATAATTCGTAGTTTGATTGCATTGCAAACTTAATAGGAAAATTTTTTGTTATCCATCATCATCATTCATCATGCAATGACATCACTTGGAGAACCATTGAAAACCCGATAGCAGTGGACAGCTGTTAAGTCCTCAGAAGTACCCATCCTTAACCCACTAGGGTTCGAACTAGGGACCTTCAGGTTTCATGGGAAAGACGTTAAACACTTAGCCACCGGGTTAAACTTCGATAGTCAATAGCTTTAAACTTCAAATTTCAAAATAAATTGTGACAAAAATTTACGTCTATTCCAGCCCAACAAGTGCCAAAATAATATTTGGAGTTACTTCAACCGAAGGAAACGAAATAAGTGTACATCTGGATAGCTTTATAGACCAGTGTTCGAAAATCACTATTAACAGTTAATAGAAGAGTAACAGAAGAATGGAAGTGATAAAGTAAACAGTTCAAACTGTGAAACAGATTAGATATTATCACTCACTATCTGAAATAGCCGTAGTGTGGCCGAATAGTATTTATACTGGGTGATGATTGAAGGTGAAATAAAAATCTAGACAGCAGCCGGATTCGAACCAGGGACCACCAATCAGCAGATTAGGTATTCAAAAGACAACGGTTTGCATAGTCAAAAGAATTTTGTTGTGATATCAACCTGTATAAGAGAAATTTCTTAAATAAAATGAACCGAAAATGGATGAAATCCCTTTTGAAAGAGTAAAAAACAAGTAATAATCATTCCATATTCGACTTGTTTATTTGAAATACAGCACACAGTGATAGTATTATTTAGTTGATGAAGTTTTGGGCAAAACTTTTCACTACATATAAACATAACAATCTAATATCATCACCTTCGACATCTGATTTTTATAATCATGTCACCTGGTATTCTTCGTTTCTAGTAGTAGTAAAATCTTCCACATATCTGGTATACGTGTTACCCCATCCCTATTACATGTGTTGGGTGTTGATTCGATGAACAGAGGTTCAGTAATCAATCTCCTACTCTCCACCGAATTACATTTGACATAAATACAGTGACTTTATCCCAACATATTGTGTATTTGTGTATTATCGCATGGATTGCAATTATTATAATTTATTATTTGTCCCTTAGGTTCTTAGTGGAACATAGGGCTTTAGTAGCACGCCTACATTGCACTCTCCTCACTGCAGTCTTTTCAACCTGGCTCCACGTCTACCCAGAAGCTTTAATTTCTTCCTCACACGATCTCCTCCATATCACCCTTGAAACCCCAACTTGTCGATTCCCCTTAGAGTCCCACTCGAGAGCTTGGCGCGTGATGTCCCTAATTGGTGTTCTCAGTGTACTTCGAATCCAAACCATCTACACTTTCTTCTGCATAGTTGTTGGGTAATAGGTTGTTGTTTGGTTCGGTCCCAGAATAAGTTCCTTGTTGCTTATTATTTCTTACCATCTGATATTCAGTATCAAGCCAGCGTAGGCGGCAGCTGTTGATGAATGTCTCCAGTTTGTTGGAAGTGCTTTTCGTAAGGCACCAAGTCTCTGAACCATCACATAGAGGCACTGACTTGAATGAGTTAGTGTTGGAAATCCGGATTTTGTTCTTAATGCTGAGTGCAGTGCAGAAGATTTCCGCAGTGATTTCAGATTAATGAAGGCCTGTTTTGCTGCCTTTCCGATCCTAGCCTTGACGTCCATGGAACACGTAAAACAAACATCAATAATTTATAATTGTCTTCTACCGTTTACTAAGAAATTCGTATGAACACATAAAAAACGAAATAATAACAGTAATACGAGTAAGACTAACAACGACAACATGAGTGGAAAGCGGTTCACAACCTTCATTGTGTTACTCTACAAAGAAGGCACATCACAAGCTTTATGTAGTATCGTCAACAAAGTTGGAATTACATTGACGTTTAAACTTACAAACTCACTCAGAGATACGCTTTGTCGATTTAGAGATCCGATAGAACCAATTAGGCAAAATAATCCACTCCGCCAAATTCCATATAATGACTGTGTGGTCAAGCTACACAGTCGGATCAGTTAGATTAGCGGAACATAGGAATTTAGCCATATTAAGAATGATACATCCCAACAGGACCAATAATCTGAAAAAACACTCGGCTAATGCAATCCATGTGATAATACACAAATACACAATATGTTGGGATAAAGTCACTGTATTTATGTCAAATGTAATTCGGTGGAGAGTAGGAGATTGATTACTGAACCTCTGTTCATCGAATCAACACCCAACACATGTAATAGGGATGGGGTAACACGTATACCAGATATGTGGAAGATTTTACTACTACTAGAAACGAAGAATACTAGGTGACATGATTATAAAAATCCGATGTTTAAAGTGGTTTTATTACTAACAGAGGAGCTAAACGTAGGTACTATGATGGATTGCATTTACATTTTATTTTTTTATGGGCAATGTCATACAGTGAATCAATATCAAATACTGGATGACGTTTTTGATACAATTTATTGTCCGTATTCTTATCTGGTAACTCCACAACTTCGGGACAGGGTTTATATATTGCTAATTTTCTCTCCTTCTTCGTGATGATAAGGGTAGGAGTACTTTCTATGTACTTTGGAAAGATGCATAATCATTTGTGTTGCACGTTTCTGGTGTTGATTCGATCAACAAAGATTCGGTTGTCAATCTCTCCCTCTACCTAGGTTTTTATTGCTGTTGCTCTATTCCACCCTACTCTATGATTATGTGTTATTGCTTGCAGAGATATGGTCGAGTTGTTTTCTAAACTTCTTAGCTTACTAAGGTCTACTAATCTTGATTTAGCTAAGCTTTTGTTTTCTGTTATTCTAATCGACCCTGGTCGACTACTCTGGCCTATGTATTTGACCTCGTAATCATTCCGGTGGATTTGGTAAACCAGATTATTTTGCTTAATTGCATAAATAGGATATTTTAAACTACAAAGGTTGTTTCTAAGCGAATTAGTCGGTTACAATCCCACTTTAATCGCAGCCAGCCTTGTTGAGAATTCTTCTTAATACTTCTGAGGTGCCTTCCCGGTATAACAATACAGCAGAGGCCTTGGATTTTCTCCCAGCTTTTATTAAAATTATTACCAGTCTTTTTAATGTAGTAGTAGAACTGTTATTAATAACACCTGTATTACTATTACTACTGCTAATATTTTTTCTTCGACTGCTTACGAATTTATTTATGAACTCAGGTGGGTAATTATTAGAAGGCAAAGTATTCTTGATGTGTCTAATTTCTAGTCTAGACTCCATAAAATCAGCAATGTGATCCTGTGTTGAAACGGAACAAATATGAGTTAAAGAAATAAAAATCAAATCAAAGAAAGAATTTCAGCATCATAACTAACAATCTTAAGTTTTGTTTGTTATTTCATCGGCAGCCGGCATAAATATGTAATGGAGTTTTGGCAAAAGGTGTAAACCAGTAATGATAAGAATTAAGTTATTACCCAGGAACAATTAGAGCGAAAAATGTTCGTTTGTTTTACTTTCTGAATATAAACTTCCAAATCTACTGAACAGTGATGCAACC